TTTTACTTTTATAGTATCTGCGTAATGATCAGATATTAACATCATCTTTCGAATCATCCCCTTTGTGAGGGACTTAGGAATAATCTGTAAGGATGAATGCAGCTTAAGTTAGAGGAGAAGGATAAGCCTTCAACTATGGAATGTGAGAATTCTATGATTTGAGATTGAAAGTATATATTGTAGATTCGCAAAGAACGTGACACCTTTGGTGAACTTGAAGTGCCAGCTGACAAGTACTATGGAGCCCAGACCGCTCGGTGGGTGCAGATGATTTCTTGGTTTTTGATAGAGATATTGGAAAGGATCTAACATGAACGAAATCTCTAGAGTATCATAGTTGCTTGGATGGAGTCAGATCTGAAAATCAACCAGAAGGGTTCTCGCCAATCAACTCTTCAACTCTTTGAACTATTGCTTTTCAGTTCAGTGATGAATTTCAAGATTGGTGGTCCGGAAGAGCGTATGCCAGTTCCAGTTGTACATGCCTTTGGAATTCTCAAAAAAGCCGCTGCAATTGTGATTAGATAACATTTCATTGTTTTCAACGATATCAGTGTTATTTACACTTTGATTTTTAGGTCAACACTGAATACGGCCTCGATAAGAAAATTGCTGATGCTATTTGCAATGCATGCGGTGAGATTATCTATTTTTTGCACATTGGGTTATCTCTGCTCCATCACATATAATTGTGCATGCGCAGTGACACGTCGCTGTAAATAATATCGTTGTCCAGTTTTTGGGATTAGATCAGTGTTATGAACCGCAGGAGCGCTCGACACACACACGATATGATAGTTTCTCTTTTTTTCTATCGTGATGGTGATGTGTGGCGGAAATGTCGAGAATGATGGGAGATCATTGTGTTACGTTGCAGACGAGGTTATCGCGGGAAAACTTGATGACCACTTCCCACTGGTAACATGGCAGACTGGATCTGGCACTCAGTCAAACATGAATGCAAATGAAGTTATCTCAAACAGGTAAGACTGAACCAAATTTTGAATAATTTTGTCAGAGAATCTGCAAATATTTAACTGAATTTGTGTGAGCGTACTTTAGGAAACAGTAAATAACCTAAGCTGCAAATGTTTACACAAAATCTGGAATCACCAAAATCAATTTAATCATTTTTGATTCGCTTTATATCTTAGCAAAAACTCCTATGTAGTGTTTGCTCAATCATGATGGGTATTATGTTGATATTTATCAAAGCTGATGTTCTTTGCTGTCATCATGATTAATGCAATCATTTGCGAAGTCCGTAAACAAGCGAATGTTTTTGAAAGATTGCGATACATGATAATTCGCTCTAAAAATGATGAAATCTCACTGGCATAAGCGAGCTGATTGATCTGTTGATTTTTT